GAAGCCTTATTCACTCAAGCACCTCAGGTGCTAGTCGCCGAGCAGGCTGGACCTTCCAGGCCTCACAAGGGCAGGAAGAGAAAGAAGTCTGCAGGAAAGGAGAAGGCACAGGATGCTCCGGTTTACCAACAACCGGCCCCTCAGGTTGTGGCAAAGAAACCGAAAGGAAGATGCCACAAGTGCAATAAGTCAGGACACTGGAAGGTCGACTTCCCTCTCCTCAAGAAATGTAATTTTCTCGTTAATGTCGTAAAAACATGTTTAGCGGTTGTATCTACCAGAACCTGGTGTGTAGATACTGGAGCCACTGATCATGTCTGCAATTCTTTGCAGGGGTTCCAGGAAACCAAGCGACTTAGGGAGGGAGAGATCACCGTCTACATGGGCTATGCTACGAAAGTGGCGGTTGTTGCAGTGGGAGACGTTACTTTATCGTTTGATAGTAGTAGTTTGGTTTTGAGATATTTTCTTTATGTTCCTAGCTTTAGAAAGAACCTTGTTTCAGTTTCTAAACTCGTTATGGATGGTTTTTCAGTTTCGTTTGATGATATGGTTATTATTCGTTTTGGAAATCGTTTTATATGTTGTGGTTCATTAGTTGGCAATTTGTATGTTCTCAAACCAAACTCTCCCACAGTGCAACATAATGAATTGAATAATGTCATAACTAAATCTAATAAGAGGAAGGAGTCTTCGCAGATGAATCAAGCATATCTGTGGCACCTTAGACTTGGCACATCAACCTTAGGAGGATTCAAAAGTTAGTGGCCAGTGGACATCTCGGTCCACTGGAAGAGCACTATCCAACTTGCGAATCCTGCCTGGAAGGTAAGATGGCGAAGAGGCCGTTTACGACAAAGGGGTATAGGAGCCACGAAGTGCTAGGATTGATTCATTTTGATTTGTGTGGTTCTATGTGTAATATCTCATTCAGTAATTAATAAAAGTAATTATTTTAGTTCAGAGTTTGAATTAATTACTTTTATTAATAATGCTCGTACCTAGTTCTAAGTTTGAACTAATTACTTTTATTAATAATGCTCGTTCCTAGTTCTGAGTCAAGTACTAAGTAATTCCTAGATCATATATTAGTATTCTTTTAAGTCATTATGAGATCAATAATTCGGCCATTTTAGAGAAGAAAAAATGTCGAGAGGTTATAATGGTGACTTTTATCATATGTATCAATGTCTTATTAAGTATTTTAAATGTTGAGGGGGTCATTATCAATTAGCAAGTGAGTTTTCCTTTCTTCAGCATTATTCACGTTTTGTCCCATATGTAGGAGATTTAATGATCATGTTCCATTATTTTTTCTCCTCCCACAAGATATAATTTTTAAATAATTTTTCTTTAATGGTTGTTGAGGTCAGATAGTGATGGTTTAAATAAGCCTCGAAAGTTGACAAAAGAGGATCATATTTCTCTTTTCATTCAAGTTAATTTTTATATAATTATTAAATTCAAGTGGGTGACAATTATATCGTATGGAGAGTGTTTATATACATCTGCAAGGTGATCAAAGGTTTCTTGATAAAGCATACAACCAAAGAATAATTTCATTAGAAATGATAATAATAATATTTCATTACGGAGTATTTTTGAGAGAGAGAGTGTGCTTGCATGAAAGAGAGAGAGACGTGCCGAGGGGTGATGGAGAGAGTAAATCAACATCACCCAAATTTTCAGCATTTTAGTAGAATTCTCCAAAAAGGTAATAATTCTATACCCAGTTAAGTATTTAGATTTTAGTTGAAGGATTTAAATATGTTTAAGGATCATTTACTTGATATTTAATTAAATTCATAATAATACAATTATTTGTAATGATGTTGAATTCTCGTATGATATTGAACTTTTATGAAAAATTCACATTTTTTAGAATATATGATAGTAAGGATAAATTTTATTAAGTTATTTGAGAAATCGGGTTAAAAATCGATTATGTTGAGCATTTGTCGATTTTAATAAAAAGATGGTTAAAGTAGTTATTTTAAACATTAAAATGAAGTTTTATAAAAATGGTAAATTTATTAAATTTTATGAGCATTAGAAAAACGTATCAAGTCCAGTGGCACGCTATGAAGATGAGGCTGAGCTGAGACGAGTATAACCCGAATATTTTAAAAAAGTTTAGAAAAGTGTTTTAAAATATTCTGAATGATTATTCAAGTTTTTAAGAAATTATTTAGCGACTAATATATATATATATATATATATATATATATATTATATACCTTTCAATTTGGTAAATTAGCTTGCCAAGATGAGAGTTAGAATCTTATTTAGTATACTTCAATAGTTAATGTAGTTATCGAGAAGACGGGTTTCGAGCATTCTACCCAAGTATCCATTCGAAATTTTTAGTCTCAAAGTTAATTGATATGATAAGATTATGTTGATATGTTCGGAGCGTTGCCGGATTTCGAAAGAATAAATTAATATTTTATGTTTTTATGATTATAGTCGAATATAAGTTGAGTAGTTGGGAAGGTTCCGGTTCGATTAAGTAAGACTGGTCGGTTCGAGTTATTTTTTTGGTCCGAGTTTCATTCCGAAATTTAAATATTTCTCCGAGCCAAACTAGTTCAGTTAAGCATATCACTATTAATTACAAAATTAGTAATATTTTCAGTGAACCATTAGAGTGTTCCATTATATCCGGATAAGTTATCTGATAGAGTCGAGCATCTTAGGATTTTATTGAGTATATGAGCATAGTACTTAGTATATTTGTTTATATTTTTATGTAGCTTGCAGAGACAGCTACCCAGCACAGCACTTACAATTTTCAAAAGTTTTTCAAAGAAGAAAAGGTGGGGACCCAGCCTGGGTATTACATTGCTTATAATCTTGTACCATGTATGAGGTATGTATGTAAATATTTACCCGAACGGTCGAGTTATTCCGTTCGTGGTCCAGTTAAGATGAGTTTATGATCACCCGGTTTTGTATGGAAGGTTTTCCCGTCTTGGGTTTCTGGGGAGGCGACCCCCAGAGTGTGATCACATGATAATCCAGACAGTTCCCGGATGTTGCATCACTAAAGTGAAGTTTTATTTATGTATATATTTAGTTCATGATATTGGATTATATGTGTTGTATATTCAGTATGGGTTTTTACGGAGTACAGTGGATTAGTACTCACGTCCTACTATTATCATTTTCAGGTCACAGGGTCGGTGCAGAGGTGTGAGCTGAACAGTGGTGGTGGGTTCGTGGATCCAGAATATTATTTTTACGAGCACATTTACTTATACTATCTGTATAAAATGATGTTACGTTTTTTAGAGTTCCGCTACGCATTTCAAGTTTCGAACCTGCATGTTAAGTATTTTCAAACTTACATATTTTAACTAGTTCAACAGTATGAACATGGTTTAGTTTACATGCATGTTTGATTAAATCTGTTTTCTTTATGTCTAAAATAGCATTTAGACCAAGTTTAAAGAAAAACGGATTTTCAGAAAAGATAAGTTTTAGTAGCATCCTGAGTTAAGTGCAGCTAAAGTCAATATCCTTTTTCGATTCAGTATTCGGTTAATTAACCAGATCGACACATTCCAGAATAGAAATTCCTTGAGTTAGATCAGGGAAGAGATTTGAATATGCTAAGTTTCGCCAGAAGACTAAGTTTAAAGCTAAATCCTGACTTTAGAGGTTGTTTTATTATCAGAAGTAACTGTAATGCCCCGTTTAATTATTGAATATTTGGGAATTATTTTTCATTATTATTATTATCATTATTATTATTGAATGTCTAATATTATGTATTTGTTAAATTTCGATTAAATGTCTAATTGTCTAAATATTATTTATTTGTCAAATTGTAATTAAATGCCTAAATGTTATTATTATTTATTTGAGAGCGGTTCTATTCTCTCGTTGAGAGCGATTTATGTTGATTTCATCTTTGTGATTTTTCGTTGCTTCATCATCCATTGATCTTCATCTCGCCTCGTCCTGAGTGTTTTTTTCCCTTTTCACCGTTCTCTTTTCGGAGCTTGTTCTATCGCGCACCCTCAATTCCCCCAATTTCTTCAATTAGGGCTTCCTTTGTCTTAATTATGGAGGGCAGATTTGCAGCCACTACTGATGAAGATCTTGCTAATCGACTACAAGACTTCTCCTTATCCCATAAAGAAGAAGAAATTTTCGACATAGCTCAAGAAGATATCCGATTGAGTGATGATGAGTGTCAACGCAGTCTATTCGGAAAAATTGTGGGAGATAGGAAAGCTAGCTGGATTGGCCTCAAAAGAGCAATGAGTGGGATATGGAAGTTGTCTCAGTCCATGGAAGTGAAGGAACTGGGGCACAATTATTTCCAGTTCATATTCCAAGATAAAGAAGATAAGAAGAAAGTCATCAGTGGCACCAACTGGAGTTTCGAGAACCAATATCTTATTCTTCAAGAGTGGAACACACAAATCTCAAGTAAGCATCCATCCTTTAACAATCTTCGTTTGTGGGTGCAAGTTATGAATGTTCCTCTGAATTGGTTAAGCACGGATGTGGGTCTGAAAGTTGGGCAAATTTTCATGTCAGTTGACAATGTGACCATAATTAGCTCTGGAAATCATGGGGGTAAAATATTAAGGTTACTGGTTACTCATAACCTTCTTGAACCTATTCCAAAGATAGCCAATATTAGGCTAGGGAATCAGTTAGTTACAGTAAGTTTTCGCTATGAGAAGTTAGTCAACTTGTGTCATTACTGCGGGATGATTGGCCATCTTGACCGTAGCTGCTCTAAGAGAATTGAAGACATTAAAAGCAAATCCCACAAAGAAGGACAGTTTGGAGATTGGCTCAAAGCCCCTGAAGGCCACAGATGGGTTGAACTAAGCCCTTCAAGGTCTAAAAGCCCTCCACCTTCTAACTCTCAATCAGACACAGTGCAGAGATCTTCTCAAAGAGATTCACCTAACCAGGAGGCCAGTGAACATTTCCTCATTCCATTCTCTGGAGATAACCTACAAATTCCAACACAACAAGCGATGACTTCCTCTTCCTCAGCACAAGCTCATCCAATTCAGACAATTGCAGTGAAAGACATTACTTCTGAGCAAACCACTATGACTTCCAAACAAATGGACATTGAAAAAGTGGTTGCTTCAACCACTGAGCCCCAAGTTCTTCTCCCTCAAGGTCCTTCTCCTATCCACAGAATCACTGCTTCTAAGAAATGGACAAGAGCCAGCTCTAAAAGGGGAAGACTGCAGAGGGAAATTGCTATTCCAATCATCATTGACTCTCCTATTGGCATGAAGAGAACCAGACTACATATTGAAGAACCATCTCACACACCAGAGGAGACTTGTACTCAGCCATCTCAAAACAAAAAAAGCAAATCACAGTCCAAGAAGGTGGGGGTTGCCAGCCTGGAGTGGCACCCAAGTGAACCATGTTAGCTGCGGTGTGGAATTGTAGAGGGCTGGGTGGGCCCTCTACAATTTCCCAAATCAGAGAGTTAGTTAAAACTCATCACCCTCTCTTTCTTTTCCTTTCTGAAACTAAAAAACAGCATGCTTTTGTTAATTCTGTTGGTAATAAATTAGGTTTTAGTGATAGATTTATAATTGTATACCCTGCTGGCTTAAGTGGTGGTCTTTTTCTTTGTTGGGACCCCAAAATTAATGTTCATCAATGTATTAAGAAGTCTTTTTATATTGCTGTTCTCTTTCAGTATAGCTCTTTTGAACCCCAATGGGGTATTTTTGTGTACTTTAATGCTTGTAAATCTATTAGACTTGAGCAGTGGCAAGAGTTTGTTGAAGACAAAGCTGCTTGGGGCAATCTCTGGTTTGCAATTGGAGACTGGAATGAAATCAGAACTCCTTCTGAAAAAATGGGTGGTACTCCAAGAAATGCTTACAGCTGTCAAGGCTTCAATGATCTTATCAATGAGCTGGAGATAGAGCAAATTCACATGGAAGGCTATCCCTATACCTGGTGCAACAACAGAGCAGATATGGGTCTTGTAGAAGAGCTTTTAGACAGAGGCTTCTCATCCATTGAATGGTCTCAATCCTTTCCTAATGCAGTTGTTACCAATCTGGTAAGAAGTGCTTCAGATCATTCAGTTCTACTTCTTGACATGGGTCTACCAAGAGAAAGGAAGCCAACCAGATTCCACTTTGACAAAAGATGGCTAACTAAGGAAGGTTTTGCTGACACTGTCAAACAAGCATGGCTTTCACCTTGTACTGGCACCCCCTTTTTCAAACTCAAGGAAAAAATCAAGAATGTTAGAGCTGCTTTGCTTATCTGGAGTTCAAAGTTCCAAACCACAAATCAATCTCTGATAACTTCCTTGACAGCCAAACTACAAGTCCTTAATCAAGAGAATCAGGAAGCAATTGGGACACCTGGGAATCCACAAGGCAGGAACTTGAAAAAGCTCATCAGCAAGAAGAAATCTTCTGGCAACAAAAATCCAGGCAGAGGTGGCTTAAAGAAGGAGATTCAAATACAAGGTTCTTCTATGCCCTAACACTTCAAAGAAGGAGGCAAAATGCAATTACCAGATTGGTATCCACTACTGGCCAGCAATTCACAAATCAGAATGCAATTGAGTCACATATTGCAGCCTTCTATGCCCAACTCTTTTCTTCTGAAGGAAGCTGGGGAGGGGACTCCCTTCTCCCACTTATTCCCACTACCATCACTCCTGATTTGAATGCTGATCTATTAAAGCAAGTGGAAGAAGAAGAAGTGAAGGAAGCTCTCTTCAGCCTTCATCCTGAGAAAGCCCCAGGAGAGGAAGGCATGAGTGCCTTATTTTATCAACATTTTTGGACTCTTATCAAAGAAGACTTGTTATCAGCCATCCTAAGTTTCTTTCAGACTGGTATGATCCTAAAATATTGGAATCACACAATTTTATCTCTTATTCCTAAGTGTGAAGCTCCTGAAACAGTGGGTCAGTTCAGACCAATAAGTTTATGCACTGTAGTCTATAAAATAGTCTCCAAGATACTTGCCAATAGACTTAAAAACTGTTTAAACAAGTGCATCAGTAATCATCAGTCTGCTTTTGTGCAAGGAAGGCAATTACTTGATAATGTCATCATAGCTCAAGAGGCTTTTCACTTCCTTAACAGACACTCAACTGGTAGAAATTGCTTCATGGCCCTAAAATTAGATCTGATTAAAGCTTTTGATCGTGTTGAATGGCTTTGCATTAAGAAGATTATGTTGCAGATGGGATTCCATTTGGATTTTGTAAAACTTGTGATGGCATGTGTTACTTCAGCTTCATTCTCTTTCAAAGTTAATGGGATTGTTAGTGGTTTTGTCACTCCTACTAGGGGTATAAGGCAGGGGGATCCTTTATCCCCCTACCTTGTCATCATTGTGGCAGAGTTACTTTCAGCCTTAGTTTCTGATGCTATTGCCCAAGGTCAGCTGCAGGGATTGAAACTATCTAGAAATGGACCTCTTCTATCACATATCCTATTTGCAGATGACTCTTTGTTTTTTTGTAAAGCTGAAGTTCACCAAGCACATGTTCTTCTAAACCTCCTTGACAAATACAAGCTGTTTACTGGCCAGCAAGTGAACCTTCAGAAGTCTGCAGCTTTCTTTAGTAGAAATACATCTCCACAGCTTCAAAGACAAATCTGTTCCACACTTCATGGCATAGTTTCCCACAGATCTACAAGGTACCTGGGACTGCCTTTGGGCATTGGAAAATCCAAGAAGGAGGTTTTCACTTATCTTCTAACATCTGTTAAAGCAAAACTTCATAGCTGGAAAACAAAACTTCTGAGTTCAGCTGGCAAGGAGGTACTTCTCAAAGCAGTGATCCAAGCACTACCACTCTTTACTATGTCATGCTTCAAAATTCCTCTATCTCTCTGTGCTGAAATTTCCAGATTATGTGCTGACTTTTGGTGGAAGTCTGGAGACCAAGAAAGGAAAGGCATTCATTGGAAGCAATGGCAATACTTAACTCTTCCAAAAAAGCAAGGGGGTCTGGGATTCTTGGACCTCAAAATTTTCAACCAAGCACTCATTTGTAAGCAGCTGTGGAGGGTTGCTACCAATCCCCATCTTCTGGTCAGTAAAATTCTCAAAGACAGGTACTTTCCAAACCATTCTTTAATTCATGCTACTAAAACACAAAGTGGATCTTGGATGTGGAATACCTGGATGGAAATGATGCCTATTTTCTCTAAATGGCTGAATATTGAAATTAGAAATGGCAAGAATATAATGATAGCAGATCACAATTGGGTTCCCTCTTTGAATATTCCTGCTCCTTCCATCATGCCCCTTGCCAGAGATCACTTGATTTGGGTAAGTGACCTAATACTGCCAACTGGTAATGAGTGGAATGAATGGCTCATTAAGCAGGTCTTCTCAGATCAAGAAAGCAAGGCTATTCTCAGCATCAAATCTCTGAAACAGGATAAAGAAGACAGGATGTATTGGGGACTTCACCCCAAAGGTCTTTTCTCAGTCTCTTGCACCTATGATCACCTTTCTTGCCTGAAATTTCAGCTTCTTGATATACCTGAGAGCAGCTCCTCCTCCCACAGAAAGAAAAGTACTCTGTTCAGAGGTTGGTCCCTGAAAATTATGAACAAAATCAAACATTTCCTTTGGAAATGCACCTCTGGTACTCTTCCTGTTGCTGTAAATTTATTCAAAAGAGGAGTTGAGCTGGATACAACTTGTACTTTATGTGGAGCTGCTGCTGAAACCATTGAACATGTGATGTTTAACTGCTCTAGAGCTCAAATACTTTGGGAGCTGTCCCCTGTCAGATGGGATAACCACACTTGTAGAACTGACTCCTTCAAAGATTGGTGGCACCAGGTTTGTTCTCTTGATCATTCAGATGTTGCTGAAGCCAGAATACAACTCTCAACTTATCTGCTTTGGTGGCTCTGGAAGTCAAGGAACCTTTGGATATTTCAAAAATCCCTCATTCCAGTGCACAGACTCATCACTGCAGCCCATTCAGATTGGCTCCAATTCATTGAAGCTGCTGGGAAGTAGAGTGCTATTGCACTGAGTTCTGATTTTTGGTTTTTTTGTACTCTTATTTTTGTTTCCTTGTGTATTGTTGAACTTTGGAGATTTGGTTCCTTACTAGGCTTTGTAGCAGTGGTGGGTTCTAAATTTCTTTTCTTGCTTTCTTATTTATCTTGTCTTGAGGCTCTAGGCCACCTTGTGTGTGCCTCTCAGTTTTAGGTTTCTTCTCGGGTGTAGATGTTTTGTATCTGAACTGTGTACAATCTTGAGTTTTATTTATATTATATCTATCGTTTCGGGAAAAAAAAAAGTGAGTATTAATATATATTTTATCCGGTTTATAAAGTTAATTGTGTGTATTATATATAAATAATATCCGGTCTATTTATTTAATTGAGCCCAAGAAAACCGAATTAATGCCATGTAGTCGGGCCCGAGAGCCGAATCGTGTTATCGAACCAGCTCGACCTGCGAGCCCGTCAAACCGAACCGGCCCAGATCGACCCAAACCCAGCCCGGTTGTGTGTGTGTGATTTAATCTTGTGGATCTACCTAATTGGCTTATATCATATCTCTCGCTCAAAGCTATCCCGCAACCTCAAATCTGATCGATCACCCTCGTCAAATCTCTCTCTCGCCTGTCATATTCTCGCAAGCAGAATTCCCTCACGCTCAATCTCTTCTCTTTCCTCTCGCTATAAGTCTGATCGACATCCCTCATCATCATCGTCATCATCAACCCTCTCCCCTTGTTCTGCAAATCGCCATCGATCGAGTCAGCAGCGTTTGGACCCGACCCAGCAGCCCTGCGAAGATTTTCCGGCAACCAGCGAGTCACCGGCGTTTGGACCTCCACGAGCAGAACCCGGCTTCTGACGACCACCTCCGCTGTGAACCCGCCCTGCTCCGCCGTGAACCAGTAGCAACGCCGCGAGCCCGACGCCGCGACCTGCAAATTTCGGCAACCTCAACCTTCACGAGCCCTCCTCCACCTCTGCAGCAACTCGACGTCATGACCACATCCGGCGGGTAGCACCTCGTCGACCCCGTTCGCGATCCCTTTCTGCAGGCCCAATTCCGGCGAGCTCAGCAGCCCGTCACCGAGCAGACCCGTTCACGATCTCTAGGCCGCGGACCACCAGCTGCAGCGTCCTCGACCGCCGCTGCTCCGCCCGACGAGCACTCAGGCCGCCGCGTTGAGCCGCTGTCCCTTCCCTCGAGCCACCGTGCTTCCCGTCGGCCGTTCGTTCCGTTTTCGATCGCGATTCCCGAGAACGGTACAAGGCTCGACCCGCCTCGTTTAATTTTTCGTCTCGTGTATGTTGTGTTATTGATTGTTGAAAGAGATCGTTGGATACCTGTGAATATGAATATGTGACTTTTGTGTTCATAAGGATATATATGTGTGTTTGAAATTGCTAAAGAAAAT